TGTGTGTGTGTGTGTGTGTGTGTGTGTGGTGTGTGTGTGTGTGTGTGTGTGTGTGTGTGTGTGTGTGTGTGTATTCACGTATGAAATAATGCCGCTAGGTCGACGTAGAGAAGACTTAAGATCATTATCATTTCTATGTTTCTTGGAGCCATGTCTTTTTTTTAACATCTACCCGGCCTATCAAAGTGTGCTACATGCGTTAATCCTTCACCCACGTAATCGGTGCCAATCAAACAGAGGTTAAAGCATTGACATAAACCGGAATGAAACATCCAAAAGACATCTCCCTTGACTGACCAGTGTGGAGGTAATCTCATGAAAGTACACGGACCACGGCACTTCTGTGGTCGATGGAAGAAAGGGCAAAAGAGTTGTGTTGGCGGTTCCATTGAGCTCTGTCGCTGAGCCGTTGATGAGGAATAGGGTCTCGTTCGCAGTGACGTCATCAGATGAGTTGGTCAGACGACTGTACACCAACATAGCAACAGAGGAGTGGAAGGACCAACTTGTGTGGCCGGCATTTTAGCCCATTTTGGTGCCAAGATCTGTGAACACAAAAATAAACCACCACCACCAACAACAACAATAACAAGAACAAAAACAACAACACAAACAACAATAACAACAACCATCCAATTTTTGGAATGGTAGATTGCCGGTACTTCACGAGACACAATATAATTTTCAAAGACATGAAAAAGGGTTTTTTTAAAGACAAGTCACAAATGAGAAAGAATAAAATGATTCTATCGAGTCTTCTCCAGAAATTCCTACACGTCTTGAAACTACACTATCCATCAATGCAATAACAGAAAATTACTTGAGAGAGATACGCATCCGGGCCATGTCAGAACGACTCAAACACGCCCACGCGTAAAGAGAAATACGAGACGTACATCCTTACTCCCAGTTAGCGCAACCTTCGAGACAATCGAACATACCCATGAACATACCCATGAACATACCCATGAACATACCCATGAACATACCCATGAACATACCCATGAACATACCCCATCCCAGGAATGTTCATCTCACTCTCACAATGTGTGCCTACTTAGAACAAAAGAATGTTTAAAAAACGCTCGCGATTTTTTACGGACGCAATCTTTGTAATATTTCCGCATACGACGAAACTGGCACAATTAATCGTTACGTATGAAAGGGGCATTAAAATCAAGTCTAGAGCGTCCATAATACTATCAGTACCGGTGGTAGAGAAAGTCTTTAGTTCTGTTTCAAGGAATTCGCGGTTCAGTTCTGTTTTCTTTCGGAAATCGAAGACTCTCCTTCTGAAAATAACTTCCTTTTCAAGTTGAATCATTAAAGCTTAGCAGTAACATAAAAATAAGTTTGTAAAAGTTACCGACATCCCCCCTGCTGACATCCACGGAAGGATATTGGATGAGAACCCCCATAATCAAGAGGTATTCATCATAGAATAGGAAGCTTGCGAGGAGGAAATGACGCACTTTTTTCCATCATTCAAGTTTTTATTTTGATATCAGTTTTTATGAAATAAAATTTTATGTAAAACTTTGATCACATGATGAACGGCAGCTAAGAAAATTGGTTATAGTCGTTGATGAAGTTATGATGTATAGATCTAGATCTAGATCATATTGGTTTTGTTCTGTGTTTGTTGTGGGGGGGGGGGGGGTATGTCTTTTTCCTTTGCACTTGGTCCAAGAGCGTGTAAGATAATGGAACCGATTTCTTTAAATAAAGACTGAAGGGAGCTGCATTTTCATATTTTCATCTGTCTTGGACAGCAGCTTTTCAGCTGTGCAAATCGTCAAATAAATGTTACGATTTGTCTCAAAGCAGTTTTGTAGGGTGGTTTGGGGATAATTCTAGATTTTTTTTTTCACTATATTTTGAAGACAACAAGTTGGTATTTTTCTGTCCAACAAGAATGTTGACCAAAGGTGCTTTTCACAGAGGTTATTCAGAAGCGACTGGCCATGATATCTTCAACAATAGAATAAAACAAGAGGCATTAAATGCAAAAACATTTACCTAAGATTTTAAGATAAAAGTTTCGAAAAATTGGTAAACGCCGAACTCACATGACAGTCTAAAGAACACAGACATAGCAAAGTGCCACGAGACTGGGGAGAAAACTAAACTACCGGATTCACAGTAACCCCCCTCCCCCCTTGAACACACACACACACACACACACACACACACACACACACACACAAACACACCATTCTGATTTCATTTGGCATTATACCGAGTTCAGCACGTCTCGCATTATACTCATATAAGGCCTTAATTTTCAATGGTGTCACATTTAGATCACTGTAACGTTATGAGTGAAAGCCGTTTATAGAAATGGTGGTTTAAAATTTACTTTTACTTTTTTATTATAGCTTGTATTAGTTAATGAATCTAAGTATGATCTTCGGAGACCATAAAGGCAAAGGGCCATAGATTTACTCTATTAGGAGATAACTCTATTTTAAGGACACGTTGGGAGAGAAACTTGGTTAACGTGCGGAGTCCCTGTTTCAATGTCAAGTAGCCTTTAGAGCATCGCCTCCTTCCGGGAACGTATTTCCTCCCAGCCCTGTTCGCCCTGACGAAGTAGGCCTACAAATCCCTCTTCCTTCGAAAATGCCTGAACAATCTTTTTTTTCTTACTTTTATCATTTCTTTCTACCATTCTTTCTTTCTTTCAAGGCAGGATAAAACACTTCAATAATGACTTCTATTTTTTTTTAATCGGCTGTTCACGGTATTCAGATGTTACCCGTAGGCTCTTTGATATAATAATAGAGCCACCGTCTTTCTGGTCTTCCTCTTGTCGTTTTCCTGTTGTTGGTCTCCAGTCTCCACTCAGAACTGTTATTTGTCTGAATGTTATCCTTCATTTTATCGATGTCGCCAGCTAATTTCTATTTCTTTTCGACCATAAATTACCCTAGATATTTTACCTTTGCCAATAAAAATGTGTTAGTTAGTTTCAGTAAACAGAAGCACATCGACAAGATATATTAATGTCATAAGCGCAAGGGGGGGGGGGGAGCAAGACAGATAGACAGAAACAACAGAGGAAAAGAAAAGAAGTTTAAGCTCAGAGTGGCATTCTCTCTCCTATCAGTCACTTGTGCCACAGAAAAATTAAACCACAAGTATTATTTTTGTTTAAGTACGATGAATTCGCTAAGCAAAAGTTACAAAGTTTTATCTGCTCAAAACCTAGTTTTGATCAATTTGACGTTTAAAATGTTGAGTTTTACAACATGTGAAGCTTTTTCGAAAGCATTTCTTTGAATCCCTTGATAACGACTCCGAATAACCTTACGGGGTGCCCACTACAGATGGGATCGGCCGATCGGCCCGATCGCCCGACTCGATCGCCTCAAAAACAAAGGTGTTTGTTTTCAGTTTCAGGCGATCGAGTCGGGCGATCGGCCCAATCCAGCCGTAGTGGGCCCCCCGTATTAACGATTTTGATAATAGAGCAGACAGAACATCAAAATTTATTGGTCTCTGACCTCGTGATCTCAGTAACTCTGACCTCGTGATCTCAGTAACTCTGACCTCGTGATCTCAGTAACTCTGACCTCGTGATCTCAATAACTCTGACCTCGTGATCTCAGTAACTCAAAACGGCCAACAATGTCATACACGTATAAAACTTTGTAATTCTGAGGTAGCGAGATAGAAAGTGGAGTAACGCTGAACGTGAAACATAGACTTTAATTTAAGACATGTCTCTCTCGGAAATAAATTCTAAAATGTTGTCTGGCCGGTCCGGGATCTGCTGTGTGTTGAATGGCATGTAGATGACTTCCCGGCTCTGGGGGTCTGGGCAACCCACGAAGAGGCTGTTGTTTGTTCAGCAAGTCCGTCCCGTGCACAGAGGGGGATTTTTTTTATTTTTTTTTGGGGGGGGGGAGG